AGATGGTCCTTAATGGCCCATCAGGAGCCATCGCGAGCCCTTCCCCCGCCCGCCCCGATTTAAGGCAAAAAAAAGCCGGAAAAAGGTCCTTTTAATGGGATTCATTTATCTCTTTTTTTCATCATTTAAAAAAAAAAATCCCAAAAGAAAGAATTTCCCCCTTTTTTTTTCCCCCCCGAATTTTTACTCTTTTCCCTGCTCACGCCAGCGACAGAAAAACAAACCCAAAGTACCTGGTTTGATCCTTTTCCCTCTTTTTTAAGGTTTTCCCCCCCAAAAAGGTGGGGCAGAAGAAGAGGGGGGGTGGGTGGAGGGTGCCCCTGACCCCACACACACAAAAAAAATCACCTCCCCCCACCCCCAGGAGGTCGATTTTGGGGCAAAAAAGGGGCTTCACGCCCCTTGACTTTGGCCAACCCAACCAGGCTCCAAAAAATGTCTCAAGAAGCTTCTTTTTTTGGGAGAAAAACCCACCTTTTTGCCATTTCTTGGACATCTTGGGGGGCTCCGAGGGGAATCCCACCAGTAGCTCCTCCCGGGGCCCGTCAGGCTTTACTGGTCCCAGCTGGGAGCCGGTTTGGGAGGTTCTTCTTGAGGACCTGGGTCTCCAGGACCCATTTTTGAGGCCAAAGAGAAGATCTTGAGGGGTCTCCCGGAGGAGAACCCCCCCCAGAAGCTCCTCCTGGAGCCCCACTGGCCTTTACTGGTCCCAGTTGGGCACCGGTTTTGGAGGACCTGGGTCTCCAGGACCCGTTTTTGAGGCCAACGAGAAGATCTTGGGGGGAGAAGAACCTCCCCAGAAGCTCCTCCTGGAGCCCAGGGCTCTTCACTGGTCCCAGTTTGGGGCACTTTCCACCCAAACCCTTCACGTGGAGCAGCCGAGACCCCAAATGGCCCAAAACTTGCTTTTCTGAAGGCTTTAAATTCCGTTTTCCCCTGTTTTTATGGTTTTTTTCCTCCCGCCCAGGCCCCACCACCTTCACCCGCTTCCTCCCGGCTCTTCCTGGCCCCCTCCTTCCCTTTTTTCACCGAAAAAGCCATAAATTTGGGGCCGCGGCGGCGGCGACACCCGGGGCCCGAGGGCTGAGGGAGAGAAACCCAAAAATTTAGGGATGAAAGGTCCAAAAAATGAAGGGGAAAAGGGTCCCCAAAATTAGGGATGAAAGACCCAAAAATTTAGGGTGAAAGGGACAAAAATTTGAGGATGAGGGCCACAAAATTTAGGCCTGGAAGGCCCAAAAAAATAGGGATGAAGGGCCCAAAAATTAGGGATGAAAGGCCCAAAAATGAGGGGATGAAGAGGGCAAAAATTTGGGGATAAAGGGGCCAAAATTTAGGCCTGAAAGACCCAAAAATTTAAGGGACAAAGGGGCCAAAATTTAGGAGAAAAAAGGGCCCAAAAATTCCGGTTCAAAGCCCCCAAAATCCAGGGATAAAGGGGTTGAAATTGAGGCCTGAAAAGGCCCAAAAATGCAAGGGATGAGGAAAGAAATCCCTCGGAGCCCCCCCGGGACCCCCCAAAAACTCTGCCCCTCCCCAGGGACCCCAGG